TGTATCTTCTTTGGACCTTTGACATTAATTTTTAATTTTATTTTTTAATGCTTTAAAATTAAATCACATTTTAATTTTTTAAGGTCTTGCCCACTCACTAGTTTCTGATACTGTATTTTAACTTAATTCATCCATTTTTCTCTATAATCTCTAAAATCCTTCTTATGATACAGATCCCTAAAATGTCAATGTCATTATTTTAAGTAAATTTATCTCATAATTTAATTAATCTAGAAACTTTGCTCTTTTTGCATGTGTGGATACTGCTTCTATATTCTTAAAACATTAACTAACAATAAATGACATCATTGAATCAGTAACTGATTAATCTAAATTAATTTATGCCAGAGTAACAGCTTATTCATTAAATACTGTTAACCATTATATCACATAAAGTCTTGGTATCATATCCATTCCTTATGGTTAATCTAGTTTTAATAATTTCACATAATTTTATAAACATGGCTAATAATATTAAGATAGAATTCCATTAATTTATTATTAAATTGGTTCAGCAAATTCTTTAAAACTTATTAGTTTCTTAGAGTTTTAATAAACACTTTAGGCTAAATCTTTAATTTAACTAGAGATTAATTTGATATTATGGAGAAATATCAAATAATCTTAAGATTCTTTACAATTCTATTATAAATAATTAAGACTATCTTACAATAATTATAAAAATAAAATTCTATCTACATTTTTATTCTTAGATATTCTATTATTATAATAATATTATATACTTAAGTATTTCAATAAATATTTGTAACATAAATTCAGAAAAATTAATACCAAAAACATCTTTTTATGGTACAACAAAATTAACTTTAATCTATTTTAATGTATAATTTGAAAATTGTAAAGATAAAGATTTAACTTCTATATCATTAATTTAATTATCTAATTTAGGACTATCACCAAATAAATTTATAATTATTTAAACCATACTCTTTATTGATTCTATATCCTAATTTATTCTTTAACATAATAAGGCATTATATTATTAATTAAACCATGATTTTAAGCTGAATCTAAAAACTATTACATCTTATTTTCTATTTCTTCCTTTAATTTATTCATATTTGGATTAAAATTAAGATCTCTACATAAATTTTAAAATTATTTAACTTATTTACTAAATTTCATACTTACAAAATTTTCTAAAGCTATACAATTCTATAATTATAATTCTTATTAAGGTAATAACATTATTAAAGAAATTCAATTATAAAATCACCTCTAATCATCTCTATTTAATAAGCCTCATTATCTCTCGATTACAAAGTTTTATTAAAATAAGCATTAAAATTCTTTATCGATTATTAAAGATTATTCACAATATCTTAAGTACTATTCTAAGTTAGATTTAATTCTTTTATATATTCACCTATTTCTAAAATCTAATTATACTCCAAATTCTCTTATTTTATTTATTGAAGTATATTATTATATATTTATTTCATTATTTAATCTATCTATTCATTCAATTATTTAAACAATGATATATTTTTATATTAATTCATATTTTCTTTTTAAAGAGATATCAATTTCATTACTTATGCATTACTCCTTTAAAGATAAGCCTCCTTCAATTAATTTGGTAATTAGACATACTATTCACATTTTCTAATAAAATCAATTACAGATTTTAATTTTTATTAACTCATTCTTAATTTATTCATAGATTATGAAATTTAATTTAATTTAGATAATAATTAAAATGTTCTCTTAGACAAAGATCCTAAAATTGCAATTTTATCAACTTGCATAGGTTGATTTGATTTATCATTTGATGCTAATGATTTTTTTCTTTTAATTTAATCTTTAAATTCTTTAGAAATGAATTCATTAGAATTTTAACAATAACTTTATCTAAATTCTTAATTGATTGTTTAATTTATTCAACTGATTCTATATCAATAGCTGCATTTAAACTTTCTGCAGTTCACTTTTTTCAATGCAGCATTTCTATTCTTATTTGATTTAGTAGTTCTCTATTGAAGAATTAATGGATTATAGAAAGTCTTAATTAAATATTCTGGATTCCCATCCCATTATAAAGTAATATGTTCTAATTTCTTTTATCTTTTATTTTACTCTCTTTACAAATTGAGATTCTCAGGAGGAGGTTAATCAGATTCTTTCCATGATGTTTGTTATATTTACTCTTGAATTTATTGAACTCTAATTCTTTTATACCAAATTTCAAGTTATTCCTTGAGTTTTTTAATTTCAAGTACATCTTTCATCTTTTAAATACTTAATTATTTTAACAGCTACAAGTCCTTTATCTTATATTTTTTTTATCAGCTAAAATATGAGTAGATAATGATAATAATTTATATGCATCATCTTCAAGATCTGCAAATATTTTAATGAATTCAATTCTTTATGGATATTTATCTAATATATTGAGAAATAATTCAGCACTATAATATGCAGATTTTCTTAGACTACCATCAACTTTAGATTTATTTCCTATACAATTTAGTAATCCATATGGTAATTATTCATTACCTATTAATATAATCTGATTTCTTTAGGATTTAATTACATTTTGAATATATCAAGTTATTTAAGATATTTAGATGTTTTAACTTTGATTTTTTATTAAGATTCTTTGGTTTTTGTTAAGACTGCTATAATTTATTACTAATTATTCATTAAATATCTATAATTAATCTTTGGAAGATTATTTTGGTTCTAACTCATTTATGAACCAGTTTGATAGAATTATTAATTAGCTTAACTATTTGGTCTATCTTTATCATTTTAATATCTTTCTCTATTGTTTTTTTATTTTTCTTACATTTACTTATATCCAACACCTAACTAAAATATAATATCATATATATATAATATTCTTCCCATTCTTTCTGGAGATGTTTCTTTAGAAGGGAAATGTGCCCATCCTCTATAATCTCCTAATTATCCTTTAAATTTAACTAATTCTTTATCACATAAAGCATAAGACCATAATTATTTTTAGCAAATAAACCTTCTTAATCTTTTTTCCTCCTTCACCTTCTAACATCATAAATATTTAATTAATCTATTTAAATTATTTATATATATATACTCTTTATTCTAAATAAATTAAAGCTTTTTTTAGTTTCAGATTTATTAGCTAATTATTTAATTAATGCTTAAACAACTTCTTCTAATCTAGATACAAGATCATTTTAAAGTTTTTCTAAATCTTCTAATTCAGCTTTTCTTTCTAATTTAATTCTTAATTCTTCAATTTACTTAGATAATTCATCTTAACTTATTATAGTTTAGGTTCAAAAAGGACTAATAAATCTTCTCTTCTTACTACTCCATCAATTTTTTTTCCAAATTATACTATTTTTGCTTTATTATTATCTTAATCTTTTTTCATTTAATCTTAAGCTTCTCTTAATTCTTATAAACCAGAAATAATTGAATCAGTTTTAGTTTATCTCATTTTATTTTCTAATTCAGCAATTTTTTATTATTACTTATTATGCATTTTATGAAAATTAAGATTTATGATTAATTAATTCTCTAATAAATATCATAAATAATTACTATTCATTTTAAGCTACTTAATCTTATAATTCTTAAAAGTATTTAAAAAATCTGGACTTAATTAAGGTCCTTTACTTGGACTATTATCTAATTATGGTTATGATCCACGTTTAGATTTATTTAAAAGATCTTTAATTTAAGCAAATAACTCAGTATGTTTGCATCTGTTGGTTTAAAGGAGTATATATTTTGTAAATTAGATAAAGATTTTTAATTGCCAGATACAATGTAATTGCATTTTTTAATTGTGACAATAAATTAAGTGCTCTAATATATTTAATAAGATAATTGAAAGATACTTGTTTAATATTTGCATCGACATGTTTTTTAGTTGATATGTTTCTTATGCTTTAAATAAATTTCATATTTCATCTGTTCATGTTTATGGTAAAATGGATTAATTGGACAGAAAAGAATAATTAGATAATTTTAAAAGGAATCAAGTTGTAGAGCAATGCAGGTAAAACATCTTATGTATATAGTTTGATATCATCAGAAGAAATTCTATAGATTAAAGAAACAATGATTTATGTTTGTAGAAAATTAGTGAATGAAGGTGATTTTAATGATCCTTTATGGTAATGTACCAATTGAATTGTTAATGTAAAATTAAGAGAAGTTAAATGATTTAAATGATGATATTGAGTTTTAAAATTATAAGTAAATAGCAATAAGAGCTAATGAGAAATTTCGTAAGACAAGAGGATCGGCTAAGAAAGTTAAAACAAATATAGATACCAGTTTAGTTCATCCTTTATTTAAAGATAAGATTTAAGTCGAAGAAGATACAAAAGATATGTTAAATTAGATAAAGAATTTTAAATCTAGTTAGAGTGTTATAGAAATAAAGAAATTTGAATAAAATTCAAAATCATATCCTTTTATGAAGGCTGTTTTTCATTTGAAGGATGTATAAAAAAGAAAGCTATTCCTAAGATTGAATTAAAGAAATAAAAAAATCATTAAATATAGAAAATTTTATGGATTAAAAATTCTTTATTCCTACATAAAGGGATCCGACAAAAAGCTCAGAATTTGAAGATTTACTTAAGATTATAGTAGAAGATATAAATCCTTTTGTAATTTCTGATGATACCGATGCATTACGTAAAAGAAAATAGATGGCTTGGGATAAAGACAAAAAAAAGTATGTAAATAAGAAGGCACTTAACAATAAGATAAAGAGGATCGTGGTATGAAGGTTGAAAAAGGAAAATAAGATTTTAAGAAATGGCAGAAATAGACAAGTATTTAATTATAGAATGTTGGAGAAGAAGAAGTAAAGATTTACTTATATTTTAGCATCAATAAATAGTTTCTAGAGCAAAAGAGTTGTTTAAAAAGAGACAAATGAGAAGCAAAGGATATTACTTTAATTAAGAGGAGGGACCATAAAGAGGAGGTAAGTAAGAGATAAAAAGACCAGATTAGTTGTTAAAAGTATTAATTTGTAATTTATATTTTAGTCTAAAAAAATAAAGAAGAACTTGAAATTGAAGAATATGGAGAAGGGTAAACGTAGATAGATAGTAAGAAACAAAGAAAGAATAAATTGTGATTAATAAATATATATATTTTATTATTATGGACGGAAAGAAGGT